ACGGACAGACGGACAGACGGACAGACAGACGGACAGGGCCAAATCAACTCAGCTCGTCATCCTGATCAAGAATATATATACTTTGTGGGGTCTGCCACGCCTCCTTCTCCCTGTTACATACATTTCAACAAAACCATTATACCCTGATTTCCCATTGAAAATGGGTTCAGGGTATAAAAAGGATATACCTTACAGAGCTCAACGCTTTAGAAATGTTAAACTAGTTTATCATTGTATTATCTTATATCATATGTATGGCAACTCGAGTCAGCTTTTATTGGGGCTAATGAAAGCTGAGTCCCCTTAGGACATTCATTTATATTTATAATTCCAAAATACAAGGATTAATCAATCCTTGAATTGTACAGATTATTCCCAATGATTGCTGCTAACTGGAATGCCCACTTTGCTGTTCATTCACCCATTCAGTTCAAGAACAAAACTGAGCCCCAAGACACGGCAGACAGAGAGGGATAATTTGGATGTGTGTGTGCGTGTGTGTGTGTGCTTTGGGGATGGAGTCATGCATTATCTGTCTTATTAGGCACATTTACAATGCACACTTTCGACATTCAGTTAATTTGCGATGGCAAACACCAAGGCGGTAAGGACAATGCCAATGGCACAACACTTTTCGACCACAATGCAAGTCCTTTGTGATTGCTTCAACTAAACAGTCGCCCATACTCGCAGCCCGTTCTGAGTGCAAAAGGACCATCAGGAATCAGCTTTCCGTTCGTTGTTGTTCTTGTTGTTGCTGTTGTCAACCCGCCTGCTTCGGTTCCGTGCGTGTTTTCCCGCATTGTAGATAAGACACGCAACGTAGCGCAGTCGACGTCAGCGTCGACGTCATCACCTTGCGCCTGCCAATGCAATGTGTGTGTGTGCGTATGTATGTGTATGGGGGAGTTTGTATGCTTCCCCTCTAGCTTGTCATTATCCCTTTGCCACACACACCCACATACACACACACACATATATATACACACGCTGAGCAAGCAAAACAATTCCGTTTACATTTCCCACATTTCTCACCCTCCAGTACACTCACACAATTGTACATAAGTATATGTGTGAGTGGGTGTGCGGGTGTGTTTGTGGCGTCCGCCGCTTTTTTGCTTTGCACACTTTTTGGGGCGCTGCTGCTGGGAACCGCACACATGTGCGACAAACAAACAAACAACAGCAACAGCAGCAATAACAACAACAACAACAACAATGAAATGCGTGCAAATTTTTAGAAAAATATACAAACACACATCAGCTCAGAGCAGGGTATTATCTCATGCAGCAGGCAGCAGGCATCAGGACGATGCCGCTTAAATGGCGCTTAACATATTTGGTTTCTCTCATCTTTTTTCAGTCTTTCTTCTATTATGTTTTGCTGTTGTTGTCCACATTGTTTGCGCAGTTTGCTCGTTTGCCGTTGTTGCTGAAAAATAGATTTGCGAATCGACAGAGCGACACTCGCTCACAGATTAACCCTTTGGCAACTATAGATTCCGATGAATGAAACTGATTGTATAGACCTCATATCATATATGTAGATTTCATAGCTGCAATTGGTTTTTCTCCAATCAGCAGAGCCCTTATGTACTGCGATTCTTGCTTATTCAACAGTTGTATTCATATAAATACATACTTTTTTGTTTAAGCATGCTGTCCCTGCTTAGACAGGTAGACAACTGGACATGCGACAGGGAAAAGAGGGGAGAGACAGAGACAGAGACAGGCAGACAATCAACAGATAAACTGGTAAACTGTCAACCCAGACAGTTAACCAGACAGCAAGATTGCAAAATATCAACAATAAATTGCAAGAGTAAAGCTTTATTCACACACAACTTCAATAAAAAATAAATAAATAATATAATATATGATTATAACATGGATATTCATGTATTTGCTAAAGCACAAGTTTCTAGTATTTGAAATACGCTTTTTACAAATATGTTGGTGAGAGGGTGAATATAGGGGTGGGGGGGGTAAATATTGACAAAAATCGAAACTCTTTAAGCTACAAGCTCTATAGCTTTAAAAATGTAGGAGATATAATTTTATAATGATTTTCGATAAGGTTTTTTTATTGATAAAAAAATAATGGGGCAAGTTATCGATTTTTAAAGCAAAACTCGATATCCAAGTGGTATACACGGTCATTTAAAAAAAAAAAAAAATTGAGGTCTCTAGCTCTTGTATCTTCTGAAATCGACGCATTCAAACCTAC